GCGGAGTGCGTACCTTTGAGGTTGGCGGCGGCGGCGTCGATGTCGGTGTCGGCGAGCAGCGCACGCGCGGCGGCGGCGTGTCCCTCGCGCGCGCACACGTGCAGCGCGTGTCGCAGTATACAGTATACAGTACACAGTACACAGTACACAGCTGGTGTGCGGAGTGCGTACCTTTGAGGTTGGCGGCGGCGGCGTCGATGTCGGTGTCGGCGAGCAGCGCACGCGCGGCGGCGGCGTGTCCCTCGCGCGCGCACACGTGCAGCGCGTGTCGCAGTATACAGTATACAGTACACAGTACACAGTACACAGCTGGTGTGCGGAGTGCGTACCTTTGAGGTTGGCGGCGGCGGCGTCGATGTCGGTGTCGGCGAGCAGCGCACGCGCGGCGGCGGCGTGTCCCTCGCGCGCGCACACGTGCAGCGCGTGTCGCAGTATACAGTATACAGTACACAGTACACAGTACACAGCTGGTGTGCGGAGTGCGTACCTTTGAGGTTGGCGGCGGCGGCGTCGATGTCGGTGTCGGCGAGCAGCGCACGCGCGGCGGCGGCGTGTCCCTCGCGCGCGCACACGTGCAGCGCGTGTCGCAGTATACAGTATACAGTACACAGTACACAGTACACAGCTGGTGTGCGGAGTGCGTACCTTTGAGGTTGGCGGCGGCGGCGTCGATGTCGGTGTCGGCGAGCAGCGCACGCGCGGCGGCGGCGTGTCCCTCGCGCGCGCACACGTGCAGCGCGTGTCGCAGTATACAGTATACAGTACACAGTACACAGTACACAGCTGGTGTGCGGAGTGCGTACCTTTGAGGTTGGCGGCGGCGGCGTCGATGTCGGTGTCGGCGAGCAGCGCACGCGCGGCGGCGGCGTGTCCCTCGCGCGCGCACACGTGCAGCGCGTGTCGCAGTATACAGTATACAGTACACAGTACACAGTACACAGCTGGTGTGCGGAGTGCGTACTTTTGAGGTTGGCGGCGGCGGCGTCGATGTCGGTGTCGGCGAGCAGCGCACGCGCGGCGGCGGCGTGTCCCTCGCGCGCGCACACGTGCAGCGCGTGTCGCAGTATACAGTATACAGTACACAGTACACAGTACACAGCTGGTGTGCGGAGTGCGTACCTTTGAGGTTGGCGGCGGCGGCGTCGATGTCGGTGTCGGCGAGCAGCGCACGCGCGGCGGCGGCGTGTCCCTCGCGCACGCACACGTGCAGCGCGTGTAGCAGTATACAGTATACAGTACACAGTACACAGTACACAGCTGGTGTGCGGAGTGCGTACCTTTGAGGTTGGCGGCGGCGGCGTCGATGTCGGTGTCGGCGAGCAGCGCACGCGCGGCGGCGGCGTGTCCCTCGCGCGCGCACACGTGCAGCGCGTGTCGCAGTATACAGTATACAGTACACAGTACACAGTACACAGCTGGTGTGCGGAGTGCGTACCTTTGAGGTTGGCGGCGGCGGCGTCGATGTCGGTGTCGGCGAGCAGCGCACGCGCGGCGGCGGCGTGTCCCTCGCGCGCGCACACGTGCAGCGCGTGTCGCAGTATACAGTATACAGTATACAGTACACAGTACACAGCTGGTGTGCGGAGTGCGTACCTTTGAGGTTGGCGGCGGCGTGTCCCTCGCGCGCGCACACGTGCAGCGCGTGTCGCAGTATACAGTATACAGTACACAGTACACAGTACACAGTACACAGCTGGTGTGCGGAGTGCGTACCTTTGAGGTTGGCGGCGGCGGCGTCGATGTCGGTGTCGGCGAGCAGCGCACGCGCGGCGGCGGCGTGTCCCTCGCGCGCGCACACGTGCAGCGCGTGTCGCAGTATACAGTATACAGTACACAGTACACAGTACACAGCTGGTGTGCGGAGTGCGTACCTTTGAGGTTGGCGGCGGCGGCGTCGATGTCGGTGTCGGCGAGCAGCGCACGCGCGGCGGCGGCGTGTCCCTCGCGCGCGCACACGTGCAGCGCGTGTCGCAGTATACAGTATACAGTATACAGTACACAGTACACAGCTGGTGTGCGGAGTGCGTACCTTTGAGGTTGGCGGCGGCGTGTCCCTCGCGCGCGCACACGTGCAGCGCGTGTCGCAGTATACAGTATACAGTACACAGTACACAGTACACAGTACACAGCTGGTGTGCGGAGTGCGTACCTTTGAGGTTGGCGGCGGCGGCGTCGATGTCGGTGTCGGCGAGCAGCGCACGCGCGGCGGCGGCGTGTCCCTCGCGCGCGCACACGTGCAGCGCGTGTCGCAGTATACAGTATACAGTACACAGTACACAGTACACAGTACACAGCTGGTGTGCGGAGTGCGTACCTTTGAGGTTGGCGGCGGCGGCGTCGATGTCGGTGTCGGCGAGCAGCGCACGCGCGGCGGCGGCGTGTCCCTCGCGCGCGCACACGTGCAGCGCGTGTCGCAGTATACAGTATACAGTACACAGTACACAGTACACAGCTGGTGTGCGGAGTGCGTACCTTTGAGGTTGGCGGCGGCGGCGTCGATGTCGGTGTCGGCGAGCAGCGCACGCGCGGCGGCGGCGTGTCCCTCGCGCGCGCACACGTGCAGCGCGTGTCGCAGTATACAGTATACAGTACACAGTACACAGTACACAGCTGGTGTGCGGAGTGCGTACCTTTGAGGTTGGCGGCGGCGGCGTCGATGTCGGTGTCGGCGAGCAGCGCACGCGCGGCGGCGGCGTGTCCCTCGCGCGCGCACACGTGCAGCGCGTGTCGCAGTATACAGTATACAGTACACAGTACACAGTACACAGCTGGTGTGCGGAGTGCGTACCTTTGAGGTTGGCGGCGGCGGCGTCGATGTCGGTGTCGGCGAGCAGCGCACGCGCGGCGGCGGCGTGTCCCTCGCGCGCGCACACGTGCAGCGCGTGTCGCAGTATACAGTATACAGTACACAGTACACAGTACGCAGCTGGTGTGCGGAGTGCGTACCTTTGAGGTTGGCGGCGGCGGCGTCGATGTCGGTGTCGGCGAGCAGCGCACGCGCGGCGGCGGCGTGTCCCTCGCGCGCGCACACGTGCAGCGCGTGTCGCAGTATACAGTATACAGTACACAGTACACAGTACACAGCTGGTGTGCGGAGTGCGTACCTTTGAGGTTGGCGGCGGCGGCGTCGATGTCGGTGTCGGCGAGCAGCGCACGCGCGGCGGCGGCGTGTCCCTCGCGCGCGCACACGTGCAGCGCGTGTCGCAGTATACAGTATACAGTACACAGTACACAGTACACAGCTGGTGTGCGGAGTGCGTACCTTTGAGGTTGGCGGCGGCGGCGTCGATGTCGGTGTCGGCGAGCAGCGCACGCGCGGCGGCGGCGTGTCCCTCGCGCGCGCACACGTGCAGCGCGTGTCGCAGTATACAGTATACAGTACACAGTACACAGTACACAGCTGGTGTGCGGAGTGCGTACCTTTGAGGTTGGCGGCGGCGGCGTCGATGTCGGTGTCGGCGAGCAGCGCACGCGCGGCGGCGGCGTGTCCCTCGCGCGCGCACACGTGCAGCGCGTGTCGCAGTATACAGTATACAGTACACAGTACACAGTACACAGCTGGTGTGCGGAGTGCGTACCTTTGAGGTTGGCGGCGGCGGCGTCGATGTCGGTGTCGGCGAGCAGCGCACGCGCGGCGGCGGCGTGTCCCTCGCGCGCGCACACGTGCAGCGCGTGTCGCAGTATACAGTATACAGTACACAGTACACAGTACACAGCTGGTGTGCGGAGTGCGTACCTTTGAGGTTGGCGGCGGCGGCGTCGATGTCGGTGTCGGCGAGCAGCGCACGCGCGGCGGCGGCGTGTCCCTCGCGCGCGCACACGTGCAGCGCGTGTCGCAGTATACAGTATACAGTACACAGTACACAGTACACAGCTGGTGTGCGGAGTGCGTACCTTTGAGGTTGGCGGCGGCGGCGTCGATGTCGGTGTCGGCGAGCAGCGCACGCGCGGCGGCGGCGTGTCCCTCGCGCGCGCACACGTGCAGCGCGTGTCGCAGTATACAGTATACAGTACACAGTACACAGTACACAGCTGGTGTGCGGAGTGCGTACCTTTGAGGTTGGCGGCGGCGGCGTCGATGTCGGTGTCGGCGAGCAGCGCACGCGCGGCGGCGGCGTGTCCCTCGCGCGCGCACACGTGCAGCGCGTGTCGCAGTATACAGTATACAGTACACAGTACACAGTACACAGCTGGTGTGCGGAGTGCGTACCTTTGAGGTTGGCGGCGGCGGCGTCGATGTCGGTGTCGGCGAGCAGCGCACGCGCGGCGGCGGCGTGTCCCTCGCGCGCGCACACGTGCAGCGCGTGTCGCAGTATACAGTATACAGTACACAGTACACAGTACACAGCTGGTGTGCGGAGTGCGTACCTTTGAGGTTGGCGGCGGCGGCGTCGATGTCGGTGTCGGCGAGCAGCGCACGCGCGGCGGCGGCGTGTCCCTCGCGCGCGCACACGTGCAGCGCGTGTCGCAGTATACAGTATACAGTACACAGTACACAGTACACAGCTGGTGTGCGGAGTGCGTACCTTTGAGGTTGGCGGCGGCGGCGTCGATGTCGGTGTCGGCGAGCAGCGCACGCGCGGCGGCGGCGTGTCCCTCGCGCGCGCACACGTGCAGCGCGTGTCGCAGTATACAGTATACAGTACACAGTACACAGTACACAGCTGGTGTGCGGAGTGCGTACCTTTGAGGTTGGCGGCGGCGGCGTCGATGTCGGTGTCGGCGAGCAGCGCACGCGCGGCGGCGGCGTGTCCCTCGCGCGCGCACACGTGCAGCGCGTGTCGCAGTATACAGTATACAGTACACAGTACACAGTACACAGCTGGTGTGCGGAGTGCGTACCTTTGAGGTTGGCGGCGGCGGCGTCGATGTCGGTGTCGGCGAGCAGCGCACGCGCGGCGGCGGCGTGTCCCTCGCGCGCGCACACGTGCAGCGCGTGTCGCAGTATACAGTATACAGTACACAGTACACAGTACACAGCTGGTGTGCGGAGTGCGTACCTTTGAGGTTGGCGGCGGCGGCGTCGATGTCGGTGTCGGCGAGCAGCGCACGCGCGGCGGCGGCGTGTCCCTCGCGCGCGCACACGTGCAGCGCCGTGTCGCCGCGCGCGTCGGCCGCGCCGCACTCGGCGCCGCCGCCCGCCAGCGCCGACACGATGGCCGCGTGCCCGTGCGCCGCCGCCACGTGCAGCGCCATGCGCCTGCCGTGCACGCGCTACATGTACTACACCACATCTAACAACAACCCTGTGCTCCCCATTAAGAGCACCTTTACAAATATTACTTTGGAACATTTGGAAACTGTCTGTTCTGGGAATTTGACCTAACTTTTTAAATAATAAAATAAAATTTAAATAAATGTAAAAATATAACCAAAAACGATAAAACGCAAGCCAGCAGCAGGTGTGTACGTGTGCGTGAGTACGTACGTAATTGTGTGCATCGCGGTCATTAGTACGCGCGATGGCAAGAATCACGTGTGTGCGTGCGTACTTGTGTGCGTCGCAGTCGTTGGGGCGCGCGCCGGCCAGCAGCAGGTGTGTGCGTGTGTGCGTGTGTGCGTGCGTACTTGTGCGCGTCGCGGTCGTTGGGGCGCGCGCCGGCCAGCAGCACGTGTGTGCGTGTGCGTGTGTGCGTGTGTGCGTGCGTACTTGTGCGCGTCGCGGTCGTTGGGGCGCGCGCCGGCCAGCAGCAGGTGTGTGCGTGTGCGTGTGTGCGTGTGTGCGTGCGTACTTGTGCGCGTCGCGGTCGTTGGGGCGCACGCCGGCCAGCAGCAGGTGTGTGCGTGTACGTGTGTGCGTGTGTGCGTGCGTACTTGTGCGCGTCGCGGTCGTTGGGGCGCGCGCCGGCCAGCAGCAGGTGTGTGCGTGTGCGTGTGTGCGTGCGTACTTGTGTGCGTCGCAGTCGTTGGGGCGCGCGCCGGCCAGCAGCAGGTGTGTGCGTGTGTGCGTGCGTACTTGTGCGCGTAGCGGTCGTTGGGGCGCGCGCCGGCCAGCAGCAGGTGTGTGCGTGTGCGTGTGTGCGTGTGTGCGTGCGTACTTGTGCGCGTCGCGGTCGTTGGGGCCCACGCCGGCCAGCAGCAGGTGTGTGCGTGTACGTGTGTGCGTGCGTACTTGTGTGCGTCGCGGTCGTTGGGGCGCGCGCCGGCCAGCAGCAGGTGTGTGCGTGTGCGTGTGTGCGTGCGTACTTGTGTGCGTCGCGGTCGTTGGGGCGCGCGCCGGCCAGCAGCAGGTGTGTGCGTGTACGTGTGTGCATGCGTACTTGTGTGCGTCGCGGTCGTTGGGGCGCGCGCCGGCCAGCAGCAGGTGTGTGCGTGTACGTGTGTGCGTGCGTACTTGTGCGCGTCGCGGTCGTTGGGGCGCGCGCCGGCCAGCAGCAGGTGTGTGCGTGTGCGTGTGTGCGTGTGTGCGTGCGTACTTGTGCGCGTCGCGGTCGTTGGGGCGCACGCCGGCCAGCAGCAGGTGTGTGCGTGTACGTGTGTGCGTGTGTGCGTGCGTACTTGTGCGCGTCGCGGTCGTTGGGGCGCGCGCCGGCCAGCAGCAGGTGTGTGCGTGTGCGTGTGTGCGTGCGTACTTGTGTGCGTCGCAGTCGTTGGGGCGCGCGCCGGCCAGCAGCAGGTGTGTGCGTGTGTGCGTGCGTACTTGTGCGCGTAGCGGTCGTTGGGGCGCGCGCCGGCCAGCAGCAGGTGTGTGCGTGTGCGTGTGTGCGTGTGTGCGTGCGTACTTGTGCGCGTCGCGGTCGTTGGGGCCCACGCCGGCCAGCAGCAGGTGTGTGCGTGTACGTGTGTGCGTGCGTACTTGTGTGCGTCGCGGTCGTTGGGGCGCGCGCCGGCCAGCAGCAGGTGTGTGCGTGTGCGTGTGTGCGTGCGTACTTGTGTGCGTCGCGGTCGTTGGGGCGCGCGCCGGCCAGCAGCAGGTGTGTGCGTGTACGTGTGTGCATGCGTACTTGTGTGCGTCGCGGTCGTTGGGGCGCGCGCCGGCCAGCAGCAGGTGTGTGCGTGTACGTGTGTGCGTGCGTACTTGTGCGCGTCGCGGTCGTTGGGGCGCGCGCCGGCCAGCAGCAGGTGTGTGCGTGTACGTGTGTGCGTGCGTACTTGTGCGCGTCGCGGTCGTTGGGGCGCGCGCCGGCCAGCAGCAGGTGTGTGCGTGTACGTGTGTGCGTGCGTACTTGTGCGCGTCGCGGTCGTTGGGGCGCGCGCCGGCCAGCAGCAGGTGTGTGCGTGTACGTGTGTGCGTGCGTACTTGTGCGCGTCGCGGTCGTTGGGGCGCGCGCCGGCCAGCAGCAGGTGTGTGCGTGTACGTGTGTGCGTGCGTACTTGTGCGCGTCGCGGTCGTTGGGGCGCGCGCCGGCCAGCAGCAGGTGTGTGCGTGTACGTGTGTGCGTGCGTACTTGTGCGCGTCGCGGTCGTTGGGGCGCGCGCCGGCCAGCAGCAGGTGTGTGCGTGTACGTGTGTGCGTGCGTACTTGTGCGCGTCGCGGTCGTTGGGGCGCGCGCCGGCCAGCAGCAGGTGTGTGCGTGTACGTGTGTGCGTGCGTACTTGTGCGCGTCGCGGTCGTTGGGGCGCGCGCCGGCCAGCAGCAGGTGTGTGCGTGTACGTGTGTGCGTGCGTACTTGTGCGCGTCGCGGTCGTTGGGGCGCGCGCCGGCCAGCAGCAGGGAGCGCAGCAGCAGCTCGCTGCCGGCCGCCGCGGCCAGGTGCAGCGGCGGCGCCAGCGTGGCGTCCTGCACGCGCGAGTTCACGTCCACCTCCACCGATAGCAGGAACATCACGCTCTCCACGTCGCACGCCTGGATCGCCACGTGCAAGAAGTTGCGCCCCTTCTTGTCCACCTGCTTTGCAATACCGCCGCTATGTAACAACGCCTGTCACTCTTTGTGGTAGTCAAATAGCAGAATCGAATCTTTATTTTTCGTAACACTTATCCAAGTCTTACTGTTACTTTTATAATTAAATAATTGCATCAATTCCCAATTCATATTTTTCGAGCAGTAATATTTTATTAAATATTTAACACTATTACTATTTATATAATTATTAATATTAATTATTTGCAAACGCTTTCTTTTTCAAAGAATAAACTGATGATTTACTGTAGTTTAAAGTAAACAGAGGAAACAGCCACCGGTTTGTATAAATTAATATTTCCTTTTTTAATACTCTTACCTTTCAGAATCCTTATTGAACGTTAGTCAAAACTTTATACTTTTTAGAGAATGTGTAAAAGGTAAAAAATGGAGAGAAAATTTCTAAATTCTTATATCCTTTTTTATTTACATTTACTGTATACTGTTCATCATTCACCTGTTCAGCTGCTGACGGATTCTTCTCAAGTATAGCTTGGGCTGCCTTATTATTTCTAGCTGTTAGTGCAGCTGCAAAAGGCGAAACTCCTTTATTGTCTCTCGCGGACAAATCTATTCCGGGCTGCGATAACAGCAGTGAAATGATACCCGCATGCTGATTCTCGATCGCAATGTGTAACGGCGTTTTACCTTCAGCGTCTTTTGAATTTATATTGGCACCGTGTTCCAGTAATGTCTGAAAGAATTACACAAACATATTTAGAATTGTGTTAATGGACTTTAGGTTTTGAATTGGTTTAAAAATCTTAATATAATCGTAAAATGAAAAAATTGGTAAAACATATAATATAGAGCCCCTGGCACAGATTTCTGTCACTCGGTCGTCATTTCACAACAAGGCCGCTACGTCGCGAAAGAGGAGCATGTAGCACCTCTATAATATTATGATGTTAATAGTTCTGTCGTCGGTAAGGCTCCCAGGTGCAGCACAGGTGTAGCAGTGTGTGACGCTCGGCCGCCACTTTACAGTAAGGACTCTGCAGTGCTGCGGTGAGTAACGCTCGGCCGCCACTTTACAGTAAGGACTCTGCAGTGATGCGGAGTGAGAGCATGTGACATCTGTGTGACGTCGTTGAGGCCCCGGGTGCAGCACAGGTGCAGCGGTGTGTAACGCTCGGTCGCCACTTTACAGTAAAGACTGCAGTGCTGCGGAGTGACAGCATGTGACACCTGTATGACGTCGGTGAGGCCCCAGGTGCAACACAGGTGCAGCGGTGTGTGACGCTCGGTCGCCACTTTACAGTAAGGACTCTGCAGTGCTGCGGAGTGAGAGCATGTGACACCTGTATGACGTCGGTGAGGCCCCAGGTGCAGCGGTGTGTGACGCTCGGTCGCCACTTTACAGTAAGGACTCTGCAGTGTTGCGGAGTGAGAGCATGTGACACCTGTATGACGTCGGTGAGGCCCCAGGTGCAGCACAGATGCAGCGGTGTGTGACGCTCGGACGCCACTTCGGCGCCTTCGCCATTTGGGCCGACGCGCCGCGTACATTCCACGTCGCAGCCCGCACGAATCAGGAATGTCGCCAACGTCTCCTTGTTCTCGTCGATCGCCCTAGCGAATACATTTAATTTGTTAACTGAATCCTTATATTGGTAATGGATTAAATATATGCAAAATTGCTTTGGTCATAGCCAGAACTCTGATACTCTTGGTACCTGCGTAAAATAATTACCTACAATCTCGAGGCGCCCTCGGGGCAGAACGCAGTCGGGGCTAGCGCGTTTTTCGTAAATACTTGTTGAAATACTCATCGAAATAGTTTTTGTTTAGTGTTTAGTATATTTAATTGTAGGATAAAATAGTTGAAAAAGTTTTAATGTAATTTAAGAGTAATATATATGTATATGACCTATCTATTTCATAAATTATAATGCCAAAACATCGTTCCTACTAAGGATTCAGATACATAATTTTTTAAGTTACCGAAGGATAATGAAAGGTGAAGTTGTTTAATTTCTTTGTTGGATAGCATCGATCATTAATATAAAACTAGATACACAATCCCATGCAAAAGTTCTCTAAAAACTGTCGCCAATTGTTTTAACGTAATTCTAGTTGAAATAAATATACATTAATGTAAATTCAACCTTAAATGCATTGTCTAAAGTTGTATTGACAAAGCTACGTACAAATTAAAAGCGCACCCAAATGTTAGAGTAGGCGCTCATTCGGTAAGGACATTTTTGTCACTGATTGCGTATCTAGTTTTTTATTAGTGATCAATGTTAAATAGGTACTTATAGCAAAAAATAATTAAGTAATAATTTAACTACAGAAGTAATACCTAAGTAGTTTATTACAAAACTCAGTTGAAATTTACTTCATCAGCCAAGTACCTACTTACATACCTATATTTGTCTTTTGTAATTAAAATATTTTAAGTTATAATAATACAAAATACTGAAATTAAAACTTTATTTACAAGATTATTAACTAAGTAGAATACGATCACATTTCTGTTAGGAATCGTATTTCGGGTTTATTTGTTGTTTACACTATCTACTAGCCAAGCATGGCGATTACCGACGAGTGGCCATGCAAGTTGCATGCGTTGGGCATCACAGAACTCACATAGTAGCGGAAATATGGTCGATCATAGTCAGGATAGGTACTTTGCCTAAGTAACTTACTTACAATTTCACAATGTATTTTTTTACTCTTTATTAACAGCCCTTAATCACTGCGGAAAGTCAATTGTGACGTAGGAAGGAGAAAATTTGCAAAGTAATACGGACACTCACGCGCAGCGATAAAGTTTTATTTAGCTTGCGTGCGCGATTTATGTGATTAATAATAACTATGTAGGCTATTAAAATGTCGGCAAGCAGTCAACATCAAAAGAGTGCAACATTTGTACGTAGTACTATTATTTATTCTGTGTCATAGCCAAGTCAAGATTCAAGTTTAGTTTCTATTTTTGTGTTTAATCTAATACATAAATATTTCGATTGGTTTATAAATAAAGGATTACTTAAAGAAAAATACAAAAACTAAATGTCTTACTTGTGCAATAAAGTTTGTAGGCATCCATCGGGACCGGGACCCCAGCAGTCAGCGTCAGCGCCGTTTCTCACAAGAATCTAGAACAAATGTTGAATATTAACATAAAACCATATTTAATCCTTAAATAGACTAAATATTGAAAATAAATAATATATTTGAAACGAAGTTGGCGATCAGTAAAATTTAATATGTATTACAGTTTATTTTTCAAAGACATTTTGAATCTAGATAATGGTTTTATGTGGGAAAAATTATTGATATAAATTATACACATAAGTTATTGAAAATGAGAATGCCAAAACACGTCATGCGATTTCTAAGACAACATTTGAAAAATGAACAGCATCGCATCGGTACAGACAAGCTATACTAAACGAGACATTTTAGTCTTCAGAGATGACAACGCATCTACAATCTGATTTTTAATCTAGGATAGATGAAGCCTATGGTGGACTGAAAAGAGAATATTGTTTTTGGTGGACTGTGTTAATTTGTCATTCATATTCTATAAAAAGAAACCGAATAAGATTCCTATTTTTTTAAACATTTTCAACGACTGTTCTAAAACACTAAAATACCTACGCGTTCATAAACCACTTTCAAGATCATATATTTCTAATCGTTAAAATCCGGTCTGAAGGATACAGAGTGCCAGTATGATTACAGGCTGTGAGGCATTCCATCTTAGTTCTCAGGGTTGTCAACGCATCTGTAGCCTTCTTTGTATGAAGTTAACTGCAGGTATCCACGAACTTAATAGAAGGTTGTTTGTAAGTTCGTTTGTCACTTCAATTTTACAAAAAAAAAAGTAATATCGGATTAAATCGAAGATTATCTACGTTAAAAGGCTTTTACCTTTTTTAGTTTTAGTCCAGCCCAAAGTAAGAGTGCAACATTCGGAGTACAAAAAGTTAATTTATTAAAAACGTTTTTGCTTATTATCAGGAAATAAAGTATCTAAATAAAAATGTAGTCGATTAAAATCTAATTAAATAACATCCCTTTCATATTATTGAAAAATATTATATGGTTAATGCTTAAAAAAACGAACTCGAAAGTCAGTTTTTTCCCGGCGATAAAATTATATATATTTTTTAATACCGATTACTATAAAGTATTTTTTTAAATCTATTCGATTACGAATTTAGTTGAGTGTTTTATGTATTAATGAGCTTCAATTATTTCAAGAAGTATGGATTCACGAGTTCCAAAATCGTCTTTAAAGTAATGTTTTTTTTTGTCAAAAACAGGGTTAAATGCGAGAGTACTGACGCTGGCCACTTCTTCCTGGGCAGAGTCGAGCGCGGCCCAGAGCGGCGGCACGCCGTGCGCGTCGAGGCGGCTCATGTCGACGCCGCGCACGCACAGCGCCTCCACCACCAGCCCCAGCCGGCAGTGGATCGCCAGCTGCAGCGGCGTCTCGCCGCCGTCCGTCCTGAACACACCCAACGTATATAAACACTCGACACACGTCCCATCGCTGGACACAACTTTCAAGTCTGAGATAGAAGGTAACAATCTAGAGCTGAAACTCAAACTTCACATTGTCAAAATTTGAGTGAAGACCATATTATTAAATTTCACAAATCAGACACGCTGAGGTCAAAATGGTGTGCAATATGTGATCCATATCACTAATAAAAAAACTAGATACACAATCTCATGCAAAACTCCTCTAAAAACTATCGCCAATTGTTTTGACGTAATTCTAGTTGAAATAAATATACATTAATGTAAATGCAACCTTAAATGCATTGCCTAAAGTTGTATTCAGAAAGCTACGTACAAATCAAAAGCGCACCCAAAAGTTCAAGTGGGCGCTCATTCGGTAAGGATTTTTGTCACTGATTTTGTATCTAGTTTTTTATTAGTCATCGTTGTATGCAATAGAAGTTTCGCGAACATAGTGTATCGAAAATTTGACAGTCGAAGATACTCATCCTTAAAAATTAAATTTACCTGTCATAATACATGATAATTGTTTTAGTTTAAGATAAATATTTGCGCGCACATGTTTCAAAGAGCAGAAACGTACGTAGTATTTTTTATAATGCTGCATATAACATATCCGACACATAGGTGTTATGGAACATGAAAAAATTCGCCACACTCCACCAGTAAAAGTTAATGGATTTCGCATTACGTCCTCATATAAAGGGTCGGGAAAAAAGTTTCGTCGTATTTTATATACAAATTCATGACATTTTTTTTTTCAAAGATTAATTACATTTAATTATAATACATATACATTTTTGTTTTTTGTTTTTATAGTATAGGGTGACAAACGAGCACACAGTCCACCTGATAGTAAGTGGTTGCTGTAGCCCATAGACATCTACATCTATCCTCAATAATGACTCAAGATGCAGATGCGTTGTCACCCGTGAGGACTAAGATGGAATGCCTCTTTGCCAGTAAAAAGGGTCTCCGGTTCCCTACACTTACCATACGAAACACAGCAGCGTTAAGCTGCTCTTTTACGCTGGTTTTCTGTGAGAGCGTGGTCCTTCCCCGGGCGAGCCGACCCATTCGTACTACAACTATACTACTAATATAGCTGCAGCATGGCTCTACCACGTACAACCGATGAGGAAAAAAGGTTCTCGAGTAGCAACCTCGTAACGTAACGGTAGGTGAAGTGAGGGCGTCCCCCCACTAGATGGAGTGACGACCTGGTAAGACATGCAGGAAGTCGATGGATGCAGGTGGCTCAAGGATCGTGCTTTGTGGCATTCTTTGGGGGAGGCCTATGTTCAGCAGTGGACTTGTGAAGGGCTGTAATGATGATGATGACGATGACGATAATACACGTGTGCCACGTTGTTTTATAACTTGTGGGGCTATCTTGTAGGTAGTGACATAATCCTGTTGTTGTAGAAATCTTGGGAATTTTAATCAAAAAATGCGACAAGTAGTTTTTACAGTTCTCTCTCGATGTTACGCAAATGCTACCCAAAGTATTCTGAAGAGACCGAAACAGGTGAAAATCTAAGGTCAGAACTTTATGGTGGATGCAAGCTCTTTTAATTTTTGCTGAGTGGCCAAAGATGTGTGTGGTCTGGCATTATCATGATGAAAGACCACTCCTTTCCTGTTAATCAATTCCGGTGGTTTTTTTCTCAATTTCTTGCTTGAGTCTCATTAGTTGCAGTAGAGATCCGAATCGATGGTTTTGCCCGGCGGTTAAAGCTCATAATAAACAATGCCCTTCCAATCCCACCATACACACAGCATCACCTTATTGCGTGTTTTACTATGTGTGTTCGCTACAGTATGTGGAGCTTGACTACCATTTGACCATGACTTCATTTTTCGCACGTTCTTGTCGTAGGCGATCCACTTTACATCACCAGTGATCAATCTTTTCAAAAATTGTTCGGTTTCATTAAGTTTCAAAAGAGAATCGCAAATGAGTACACGACTCATTAGGTTTCTTTCAGTGAGCTCGTGTGGTACCCATATATCGAGCTTTTTTGTACAGTCAGACTCTTTCAAATGGGTCAAAACTGTTTTGAAATCAATTCTCGGCTATGTCTGATCTTGCTGAACTTTTTCAAAAATGGCATCAACTTTGATTTGATAGACCACATCCTCGCTAAAGAACACCGATTCCTTCCAAGGATGATTCGCGAGGCTAATGAAATCAAAAAACATCCTCATTTCAGTAGAGAAGATGGCTGGGTGCTACCATCTGCTTGGGATCCTATAATAAATAAAATTAAATCCCAGCATACAACTGCAAGACTTAAAGATACTGTAAGTTCATACTGTGTAGATCGGAACAAAATTAATAATTTTAATCTGGAGGTAGCCGTGGTTAACTATGACATTGGGACGTCAAACACCTCAGTCCCCCCCCTGTGGGTACTGTAAAGTGCTCGAAACGTCGGGAATATAAAATAAGTTAATATACCACCCCCTCTGGGTGACAGGCGTGAGTGTTTATGTTATGTTAATATACGCGATAAAATCAAAATTCCGCTTGCGTCCCTCCCCCCCTTACTGTTTCTTAGAATTTTTTTTTATAGGATAAGGGTGACAAACGAGCACACAGTCCACCTGATGGTAAGTGGTTGCTGCGGCCCATAGACATCTACATCTATCCTCTGTTACAAATCAAAATGTAGATGCGTTGTCACCCGTGAGGACTAAGATGGAATGCCTCATTTCCAGTAAAAAGGGCCTCCGGCCACCTGCACTCACCAAGCGAAACGCAGAGGTAAACCTCTACTTCACGCTGGTTTTCTGTGAGGTCGTGGTACTACCCAGGTTCGAGCCGGCCCATCCGTGCGACAGCAAAAGCTGCCGCGTGGCTCTACCACTGTGTAATGTCGCCCCCCTGTCAACATGTCCACACTGGACACCCTGGACACACCTGGTCAGGCCACCCGGCTAATTACAGAGGCTGCCCTCGCGCACCTCACCCTCGTCCCAGCAGACAAGCTCCACCGCCGGTCAATGACAGGTCATTTCCGGCCCTCCCTTCAAGAATGCCCCGTCAGGACCTTTCCCAGCCTTCGCGGCCTCCAGTTTTCCCCTGGGGCCCGAAAAAGACCGACCCTCGGCGGACATCGTCTGCCCCACAACAGGCTCAACCCTCAATGGTTGATGAACTGAATACGGTGTATGCCGCTATTCGGAGCATTGACGTGGGCGAGATTGCCATACTAGGGCGCAAACTGCGTGCTGCTCGGTCCTCTCAGGACCACCTCCTTGCTCTTGCTGAGCATCACAATCTTTTGTGGTCATTGTAAGTTAAGTTAAATTCATTTAACTTGACTTTACAATGACAGAGCACTCTGCTTTCCCAAAATCTCACGGTCTTATTAAACCTAAAGGTTTATCGCTTGTGTCCTTTAATATTCGCGGGTTGTGAAATATCCTCCCCGAGCTTAAGCTCTTCCTTCGAGATCGCGAAACCGACCTCCTCCTCTTCCAGGAAACCAATCTTAAAACTAAGGACATCAAAGGCCTTTCCATCCTAAAGTTTTTTCTTCTTCGTAACGACAGGCCTGCAAGCTTACTCTTGAATCCAATACCAATTTCGATCCAATGTCAATTTCAATATAATGTAATTCCAATGTTGACAAATAATCATACTCTCGAAAACAATTTTGTTAACATTGGATTGAAATCGGTATTGCGCTTCTATTGGCAAACATTTTGTTGTAGCACGTGAAGTTAGCTGCGTTACTCTTAGCAATATATATATATATATATATATATATAGTTTTATTTATCGTTAAACCGGTGAAGTCATACTAAACCCTTTGTAACTTTCATAAATACTAAATGGTATAATTCGTCAAACATAACGTAGTTTCACTTATTTTTTATAAAAAAAACGCTATATTTGCGAGCCTTAAAAATCATATGACTGTATAGAGCGTGCCTTTGCCTCTTTCTCTCGTTTCTTTTGTTCTCTCAGAAAAAAATTGTTATCACGAAATAATGTAAACAAAGATCAACTTTTAATTTTGTTTAAAGCTTAATGGTGAAGTGCTTTTTAAGTATGTGTGAATTACTGAAAGACCTTTAAATTTGGGTATAACTATAAGCAGTTTGTAATAGTTTAATGCCGCAATAACACGGCTTGCCGTCCAACTTTCAAGCACAGTAAAGTATCTTATGAAACAGAGGAAATGGGCACCCATCTCTTAGGTCATTAGGAGGAACAAAATAAATAATGAGTTGGCTTTAGTAATATGCGGCACGATTTAAGTGATCATTTTAGCTTTAGTTGACAGGCAACTATGCTATTGATGAATTGATGAAAAATGATACGAGAACGAAATAACAATATAATTATTAGAAAGAGATAGCAATAGAGCATGGTCTGTATCTGTTTCAAAAAATAACACGCAACAACAATATAATTTTTAGAAAGAGATAGCAATAGTATGGTTTGTATGATCTGTTTATAGTGCTATCCTAGGGTTGAGTTTAGAATCAATTCGCCTGAATTTGAGGAGTCTGTCACTGTGGGGAGGTTTTGAACTTTTGACATTGACAGTCACAGATATACTCGACCAAAGAGAATATAATCACTACGTTTTACGTTTATTTACGACTCATCCATTGCTTCCGAGTTAACGTGAATATGCCGTTTTAATTCTTCCAAACAATACAACAACAATAGCATTACTGTAATTTAAAAAAAAAGACTCATCAAATTTTATCAATGTTTCCATGTTATTTTAAATTAATTTGTTTTCTTTTAATTTCTTTTGTAAAAGAAATTAATTTTTTAAATATAGTTTTCACTGTTATATAAAAAAATTAACTTATAAACTTAAGAACAGATACATACAGATAATGATGATAGGTTAATTAAAATATTTCTTTATTAAATAAATGGTTAAACTTTGTATCATAGTTTTATTAATAAATCCTTATTAAAATTACGCATGCATGCATAAAACAAAATATTACATTTCATAATTAATTATCATTATTAATAATTCACAATTGCATAACAAATAATTTCTAAATTTTATATAAATTTTTGGCCATAAGCCACCTCCCTCAACCCCCTCCACGAAAACCTTCACTAACTGGAAGGGCTTCAAGGAGTCCCTAGCCAAATGGACTGACAGGACTTCCCCATCTCCCTCACGTCGGACTACGACAGTCCCGAAAAAATCGACACCGCGGTCGATTGTCTCTCCACCATCATAAAATCCTTCCTTAAGGAGAATGAAAGGATCGTCCCAGTTGCTAATAATGATGGTTTTCCCCTACATATTAGCAACCTAATGAAATCTAGCTATTATCTTCAACGCCTGCTTCAACCTTAGTTACTTTCCCACTACGTGGAAAGAGGCAACTGTCATTGGTATCCCCAAGTCAGGAAAGCCTCTCAACCTCCCCTCCAGTCATCGTTCCATCAGCCTCCTCAAGGCCATGGGCAAACTCTCGAACGAGTCATCCTTACTCGCATGAGGCTCCATCTGTTTCTCGCAGACGGCGACCCTCTAGTCATCCCCCGCCAATTTGGTTTCCGAGCGAAACAATCTTATCCCCAACAAGTTTACCGTATTGTGTAATATAGAATAGAAGAGAATAGAACATTTATTTGCTTAAAACATGGTACATAAGATGGTCAATGATGTGGAACTGACATGTTTTGCCATAATTGGCATGCATAAATTAATGAAATACAACTAATAACACTAAGCCAATCTTACATTTTGAAATTACTTCATCATTACTTAAAAATTATGAACAAATATTCTTTTTGAATTTAAATATTATGTACAATTAAATGCTTATGCAGATCTATTCAAATATAAAGAATTCTTGAATTCTTATACAATAAATTTTTCATAAATTATTAATTGAACTATTTTTACATGATTAATATTAAACATTATATGAGATTAGTTAAGCTATTATTATTTTAATTATTACATTACTATTATTATAATTTTAATTACAATAAAATTATAATTTACAAATCTCTGGCTATTATGCAAATATTATTCCATTTAACCTAATACATTATTTTACATTTTAATAAATAAATGATCAGTATGAATTATTATTGTTTTTAGAAATAAAATGTCTATATTCATTAAACAAAATTTTATATTAATACAATAAATAGGACAAATTTATAATTAACTATATACCTACATAGGTATTATGTTATCTCAAAATATTCTGTTACACTATATAAACATTTATCAATCAGCCATGATTTAATCGTCTTTATAAAGAGAGAAGATAACTCCCTGATATCAGAGGGAATTTTGTTATAAATTTTAATGGTCATTATCTAGCAATTTTTTTCAAAAAGTGAGCTTTTACATGATGGAGCCAATAGGCGGTTAGCTCTGCACCTACGGCCCCTTTTCCCTATAGAGGGTTGCTTCCGATTTGGCAGAAAGGCCTCAAAAGCCAATGGCAGTCTTACAGGTGGTATTTAGCGGGTAGGCACTCAGGTTTGGTTAGGTTAGTCGCAGTGAGTCCCACATAAAAAAATACGATGAAATACTTAAAACTAGTTTTATTTAAATGTGTAGTGTTCGCGTAAATATCACACCAGTAACAATCAAACCAGGTTGAAAAATAAAAATTGTTGCACCAAATTGATCGCTTTAGAGTTGTTTCATCATCATTACATCCCGAGACACCCGCATCCATTGCCTTCCTGCACGTCTTACCAGATCGTCACTCCATCTAGTGGGGGGACGCTCTACACTTCGCCTGCCGGCACGAGACTGCCACTCGAAAACCTTTTTCCCATCGGTTGTCGGTTCTTCGAGCTATATGGCCGGCCCATTGCCACTTCAGCTTTCTAATCCGTTGGGCTATGTCGGCTATTCTGGTTCTACTGCAGATATCCTCGTTTTTAAGTCTTATCATGCAGAGGAACCCCGAACATAGCCCTCTTCATAACTCGCTGAGCGACTTTGAGCTTCCTCATACGGTCAGCAGTGAAGGACCACGTCTCAGATCCATAGGTCATTACTGGTAACACGAACTGGTTGAACAATCTTGTTTTGAGGTTTTGAGGTATGCCTGACGAGAAGATGTGTCGTAATCTCCCGAACGCTGCCCAGCCGAGTTGAATCTCGGTCGAAGTTGGACCTATCTAGTCGGCCTATTTGTTCCATTAAAATTTACTAAATAACTCTAAAAACTGTCAGAGAATAGCTACTTACAATGCGTTCATATCAGCTCCATGATCCAGTAGATAGATTGCAGTTCTAGAATCTTCTTCAACAATGGCTTGGTGTAACAGTGTAAATCCTTTCCCATTACGAATATTTGGATCAGCTCCACCTTCGATTAGTGGTGCGACGAGATGCTTGTGCCCTAGACAAATTAGAATCAAACAAAAATTAAAAAATATTTTATAAAAAATTTATATATTTTTTTAACGTTAAATTTTTATTACATTAAAGTAAAACAAAAAAACAATTCACTTTATAGTTAATAGTCACAAAAACCAATGGACAGCTGCAGTATGTAATTTATTTTTGTGAACAACACTGCTGATATTAATTATCGGGTAAAAATCACGCTAGCACAGAATACCAATATGAAACAGCAGTATTATGGTATTGTTTCGTATGGAAAGTGAAGTAAACAAGAGGACCTTTGTTACTGGTAACGAGGAATTCCATCTTAATACTCGAGGATGACAACGCATCAGATTTATTTTTATTTTTATTTGAGGATAGATATAGGCATCTATGGGTCACAGCCCTACTCTTAACATCACGTGGTTTGTTTGCTCGTTTGTCTCTGTAATATCGAAAAAAAATTTAGTGGCTCATATCCTTCAGCCCAGAACACAGCAGTGCATGCACTGCTGCTTGGCGGCAGAAATACGTCCGTTAATCATACCTGGTTAATTGAAATGGTAAAATTTTGCAAAAAAAAAAAAGAGCGTATTCTCACTTTGTCTATTCATTAAATTAGTGGAAGTAAGACTACTCCATTTAAGTATTATAAATACACTGCTAATATTTTATGAGTGCCTTATGCATTGTTTTAGTGGTATAAAACCGTCTCGTCTAAACTCGTCTAATTCCACATTCATCGTAGAATCCAACACGTGATACCCGACACAGTACGGACAGTAGTTCAAAGTTCGACATTCAATGTCCCGGATTCACTTATCACAAAATTATAAATAGGTAACTAACGCGATCTCTTCATGAGTCACACGGTTCAGCGTTAAAGACAACTAAGTTTCTTCGTTCGATACCAAACCACTACGACACGATAAAATTCAAAATACGCCTCGTTGACACGTAAAACTAAGAAACCAGCCAATACATAAAAAGGGGCACTTAACGCGACGGCACAATTATAATGATTTCCAGACAATCAACCGGGAGACGCTCTCGAACAAGGAATGCACGGTTCAAATCCTAGACCGTATATCTACTCGGCGCGCGCGTGCGAAATTCCGCATCACCCGAGCAAGTTAAATATTGCAAAATTCACATATCCACGTAGCGAAGTAACACGCACTAAATCTAACGATATGGACCCTACATCGGTCGCGTGAACTTCTGCCGCGATAACCGAGATACGCGGATTCACCCCATCGCGGCAAGCGAGCTACTGTCTCTTCGCCCACGCGTCGAGCCACTGCAAGCCGCAGACGGCCGCCCCACCTGGCGGCGTTTACCTCACCTACATACCATCGGGTGACGCGCCAGCTCGAACGCGATTGGATGGCGTTCAAAATGACCAATTTTGGGCATAAACAATATATTATATATATGTATATACATACATGTATATATATATATAATGTGAATTATTAAAATTTAAAAAAGTAACAGTCTATATACGTTCAATTACAATTTCATTGACTGGTAAAAAGTTGCCAGCATCTGTCTTTCCATACGATTACAGTGTGGGTGTCTTCAGGGCACAAGAGTGAATAGGCTTTTTTTAAGTCAGTGCGCTTCACCATCTTAGGCTACATACCACTTACCATCAGGTGGGATCGTAGATAAGCACTAGCATAGTAGAATATAAAAAAAGCAAAATGTAGGACGGCCGCCCATTAGATGGAGGCCGATGGAGGCGCGTGGCTCAGGACTGTACTTTGTAGTATTCTTTTAGGTTCAGTAGTGGACTTCTGACGGGCTTCAATGATGATAATGATAATGAATTTATTGAAACCGGTGAGGATCGAACCCAGGTTGCTCACGTACTATAAAATTTACAGCAAAAGCTTTGTTCTATAGTTTAAGGGTAACAAACAAGCACACATTCCACCTGATGATAAGTGGTTGCTGCGGCCCATAGACATCTACATCTATCATATTTTCAATAGATTATTAACTTTATGATATGTATAATCTCTACATAGTACAAACCAAAGTCGCTTTCCGCCGTCTGTACGCATAGAGCTTTCAAACTACGTAACGAATTTTGATTTTTGATGCAGTTTTCATCAATAGACAGAAATATTCAAGAGGAAGGTTTATATGTATAATACATGCATATTATATATTATAAAATTCTTCTGACCGATTTTGATGAAATTTTGTGTGTGATTAAGTTGATTAGCCATTCTGGCATAGATTTACAATTGGACCCGGTAGTTGGCGTTGTCGAGATCCAGAAAGCAACCGTGCGAAGCCGGGGCGGTTCGCTAGTTTTATTTATAATTCAACTGAACTCATTAGTTTATAACAAGCTAAATTTACAGGTCACTTACACTTGAAGGTATTATTTTAATAAAATTGATTTGGAAAAGGGGCGGCATTCCATCTTAGTCCTCACGATTGACAACGCATTCTGCATTTTGATTCGCAAACGATGATAGGTGTAGATGTCACACAGCAGCCACTTACCATCAGGTGGACTGTGTGTTCGCTTGTCCGCCTTATCCTATAAAAAAGGTATTTCATAATGCACTAAAATTTTTAATACAGCCATACTCGCATTCCTTTGTTTATTAAGCACAGTATATGTTATGAATAAGCACAACTTTGTTTTATTTACAGATGATTAATAAATAAAAATATTTTTCTTATGTCCATACAGGCAGGCTGAATGATAAGTAAAATAATACAGGTTTAAAAAACTTTCCACGTGGAAAACATATCTTAATAAGATGAACGTACCCTCAGTAAGCGCAAGGCTCACAGGAGTGTCTCCCTCTGAATTCTTCAGATTCAAATTCGGCACAAGACTGACGTTGCTCCTGTCCGCAGCTGGCAAATCGCCCTTTTCCACAAGTTTCTTGTGTTCGATGATGGCTAGTACAGCACCTTCATGGTTATTTAGGACGGCTAAATGTAGGGGGGTTTGTCTGTAACAATATGTTTCTTTTACATATTCTGGAGCAACAGTTGATCATATTAGTCTATTGAATTGAATAATGTTAATGACGATGAACACTAACAATTAGTTTTTTCGTTCAATTAATATAGCTTATCAGAAGTCTATATTCTAATGCTGAACATAGGTTTAACCCGTAATTTTTTTTTTTTATAAAAATGATGTCAACTGCGAACAACTATACAACCGATGGTAAGTGGCTACTGCCACCCATGGAAACCTGTCACCAACTTTAAGCAAAAATGATACAGATGCGTTGTCACCACTGAGGATTAACCTTTCACCTTATAATTAATTACACTGGCTCTCTATTCCGTTAACAGCTGAACTCAACGACAGTTCAAGCATTGCTGCTTGCGGGTAGAAATACGTAGGAGGGCGGTATCTATGTAAATGGACTCCTAGGCAAAAAGAAATAATATAAATAAATGAATAAAAAATTGAAATTTGATATTCGCTACGTGAGTTAACAAAATAAGAACAAAACTAAAGAATCTGACAGAATAGTCTACAAGTCGGTTTCTTTCTTATTTTTGTTCTTTAATTTGTATAGTTTTACTTGGCTATTTTTAAACATATGTGCATACTTATTTGAATACTAAAGAAAAGGCAATATCTTTTTGAATTAAAACCCAAAGATAAAGATTTTAGTCACGCAATAAGATTATTTACTTTAGTAAAACAGATAGGTACTCCAAAACAGTACTATTTTTAAAAATCTAACCAAGATTACAGACTAATAACTTACAATCACAGAATAATAAACTTACCGATAGACGGTGTCTTCATGCTCGCCGTACGCAGTCTGCACATTGTGCCGAGCGCCGTGCTCCAGGAGAGCGGCTGTTAGTCGTGTGAGGCCATTAGCACAAGCTGCATGAAGTGGCGTAAGGCCCGCCTCATTGCTATGATTTAGATCTCCATTCAAGTGCGACACTAAAAATACTGCGGAGTCCTAGATAAAAAAAAAGTTTATCAGTAGCAGGCAGATACAGTTGAAATTATTCAATGTATGTGTGCGTGTAAGATTGTAGCGTAGCAGAGTAAGACGATAGTCTTACTATACATAGATAACTACATGGATAATCGCTCCCTTTCATCTCGTGAGTGTTTTTGGAGTATGAATTTGAGCCATGCGATGAGTTCTTTCTGTTCTTGGGCATTTATCATCAACACTCTCATGGCTTTAAATAAATGACTGTACATTATTATTTATTAACTTCTTGACTGTTGAAACATTTTTGCATTATGTTTACTAAATAATATTTAACTATTTTAGTTCAGAAAGCGTAGCAACTATGGTAAATATCCCCCTTATATGAGATAATCTTATGGGTAGACCTATGTTCAGGAGGGGACTTTGATAGGCTGTCATGATTGAAAATGAATGATGATAATCTAACGGTTACATTGTTAATTTTTACGCGAACGAAGTCACGGGCTAAAGCTAGGTTACTTTAATTTTTTATTCTGCAAAGCGAGAGTATCAAAAATAATGTTACGAACTTGAGGTTCGAGACAATTAAAAAAAACTACCGATTGAATTACCAAAATTGACACTTTAACTACGGAACACTAATTACAACATAAAACCACACTAATAATGAAACACAATGAAACTACTAATCACTTTAGTTCGCAGTTGTATTGCTTCGAAGTACTCGCTTGTATCGGCAATTCAATACTGCCCCGGTCGCGGTCTATACCGGCCTTATATAGGGCCTCAGATAGTTTCCAGAACCTTCTACTGTAGAAACATCTAGAATGTTCGAGTACATATCGGTCCCGATTGACTAGGCGTCGATAGTTCCAGAAAGTTTATACGTGGTAGAGCCATGCTGCAGCTATATTTCTAGTACAGTTGTAACACGAATGGGTCGGCTCGACCGGGGAAGGACCACGCTCTCACATAATACCAGCGTAAAATAGCAGCTTAATGCTGCTGTGTTTCGTATGGTGAGTGTAGAGAACCGGAGACCCTTTTTACTGGAAACGACGCATTCCGTCTTAGTCCTCACGGGTGACAACGCATCCGCATTTTGATTCGTAATCGAGGATAAATGTAGATAGAGATAGTGTCTATGGGCCACAGCAACCACTTACCATCAGGTAAACTGTGTGCTCATTTGTCACCCTTATCCTATAAAAAAAAAAGTTCTTCCGTGGAAATTTCTAGAATGTTCTTGACTCTCCTAGTTCTGCTACTCGATACTAGAGGGCGCTAGTGGTATTAATTGTGGCGCGCAACAATAACATAACCCTAAACTTAACTATTTCCGTTATCTGTAACGAACGTAATTTCCATTTTAATTGAGAATGAAAATGAAAAGTGTAAAAAAATATCAACTTTTAAAATCAATTTAAAATTATTTTATTGTTTTTTCCTTTTTAATTTATTTAGTAAATATTTTGAGTAAGAGTTAGCGACTTGTAACTTATTGCAAGGATCGACATGGCGACAACCGCGCGGCAGGTCGCGGTACGGATGCTAAAAAGGGTTGGTTTTATTAAATTATAGTAATCAGTACTCTTTTGCTCTTATTACTCACCTCAAACCATCCTTGAATTAATATATGTAGTAGGCTATCTCCAGAGCCAGAATATAGTGGATTTGGTTGACACCCTTTTTCCAGTAGTTTCGCAGCGAAACCTCTTTCTATGATGTTTTCTGTTTTGCCTTCCACCGGGTCTTCGGTAAAGGCGTTTTTGTTGGTCACCGGCGTATCGAAGGGATTGGATCCGTTCATAACTAAAGTCTCACTGGAGGAGATCGAGGCACGTCTGTCGTCAACGAGAGCATAATACAGAGGCGGATGTTCGTCTGATAGAGTACGTAGATTGGTGTCCAAGTTGGCCTGCTTGAGCAAGAGATCAAAAATTCTTTGATTTCTTGATATAACTGCTTGATGAAGAGGAGTGCTGAAATAAAATAAAGAAATACATTATCAGAATAAAATAGATTCATTTTTATCTATACAAATTAATAAAATTGAAGTGTCTGTTTGTAATGTTAAAATAACAGCTTTTTACTAAATGCATATGAATGCATATACGGTACTTTAAAATTTTTGTCTGTCTGTCTGTTTGTTCCGGCTAATCTCCGAAACGGCTGGACCGATTTCGACGGGACTTCAACTGACAGATAGCTGATGTTCTAAGGAGTAACTTAGGCTACTTATATTTAAGAAAAATAATTTGGATTCTGAGCAATATAATTAAAACCCTAAATTACACGCGGGCGAAGTCGCAGGGAACGGCTAGTTTAATATATATTACAAGAATACTTGCTAAAAAGTAATTTCTTTTCATTTCAAGGAAATAATAATATATGTAAATGACATTTTTCTTTTCAAACGCAAATGATAATGATAAAATCACATAGTTAAAATATAATTAGCTTTACAGTTAAACATTATAGTAGTAGTTCTAGAATGACGGTTAATTTAGTCTAATGATGTCATAACTTAAAGTCAAAAATATTATATAAACCAACAGTCAAACAAATTTCATATATATATATATAACAGAATATAAAACAGCAGATATGTACTCCTGTAGAAACTAAGTTGATAATAAATAAAGATGAAAGTTATTAAGGTGATTTACCATATCAACAATTTATTGGAAGCTTGAAATGTTTAGCAGTGTTGACAAGGCCTGATATTGCATTATAACTTGGATTTCTCAGTCAATTCGATAATTGTAATAATAACGAAACATGGTCTTATGTAAAAAAGAAGTTTTTTACACATTACATAATCATTAGCCTTTGAGTGGTAACCATCCTATCGTCCCGGTCGTCAGACGCTGGAAGCTTAAAGTTTTGTGATCGGGCTAATACTGAAGCTGGCGTGCCACAAGGCAGTATAATATCTCCAATATTGTTTTCATTACGAGTATATTTATAATCTCAATATCTAATGTTATCAATTGTTCCTAACATCTGTACCTATACGGATGTTCTTCAGCTATATATACAATCCTATGCCGATGATATCAATGATGGATATCTGGATCAATAACCACGCCTGGTGTCACAGATTAAGCGTTTAAGTAAAACCGTTGTAATATAAAGCGATGGTTGTGGGCACAGATCATAGAAACAATTTTATGATCTGTGGTGTGGGTCACTCCAGTATGCTGAATAGGGATTGTCTATGGAAACCTTAATTGAACCTGTTTTGTGTAATGGAATGTTAGTTCTATTTTCTCATTTCTTTTTTTTTTTATAGGAGAGGGGGCAAACGAGCATGCGGCTCACCTGATGGTAAGTGACCACCGCCGCCCATGAACAACTGCAACACCAGGGGAATCGCAGATGCGTTGCCGGCCTTTTAAAAAGGAGTACGCTCTTTTCTTGAAGGTCCCTAAGTCGTATCGGTCCGGAAAAATCGCTGCTGGTAATTTCATATCAATATCGCTTCATTGTTAATTTTGGCTTGCACATTGATTACACTATTGTAGTGTAGCCCCCACGACAGTATATTAAAAAAAAATTCTTCCTTGACGCCGCAAAGGGGCGAACCTCAAAATATTAGAATTAATGGAAAACTACAAATAAGATTAATTTTCTGATGAAAAAGAGCTAGTAATCGGGGAATAATAAATGTCTTTGTTTAGGCCAAACAATCAACATTTGAGATTTGCATTCAACACTCGTGTCATTCCGCTGACTTTGTAAAGGTCACCGTCGCCCCTCTCCCATGTGGTCGCTCGGCAAAGGGCGCGAGTGCCGGACGCCAGTGCGAAGTCAGTAGCTTGACAGTAGCGGTTCAGTCGATTAGCGTATTTTGGTGACCGCTGCAGCAATTTCGCGCGACCAGTTTTTTGGTTTTGTTGTCTAGAATTTGAGTCTTTGTGCGCGTTTAATTTACTATTGAATTTGGGTTTCGTCCTCCCGCCTCGAATTAGTTTGTCTAAGTTGTACGTTTCGTGACAAGAGGCTTGTATTGAATTTGACTGATTAAAGTAATTTCGTTTGCAAGTAATTACGTCAATTGTATAGTGATTGCATGTTGAAGTGCATTTTGCAATATTTAACTTGCTTGTATGACGTGGAACCTTGCGCGCACGCCAAGTGGACATACTGTTTGGAATTTGATGCTCACATTTCATTTCGAGGGCGTGGCCCGGTTAATTATTTTTGGAAGTTAATGTTAATTGTACCGTCGCGTTAAGTGCCTTTTGTGTGTTGACTCTGTAGTTAGTTTGCGTGTCAGCAAGGCTGATTTTGAATTCTTATTGCGGCGTAGTATTTAATATCGTACGAAGGAATTTAGTTTGTTTGGGAACGCCGAACTTTGTGACTCGAGAAGAGACCGCGTTCGTACGTGTGGTTATAATTTGTTGCTAAGTGAAAATGAATATTGAACTTTGAACGACTGTTCGTTATTTGTGTCGGGTGTCACGTGTTTGATTTCGATGAACGTTGAATTGGTTGACTTTGAAGTTAATTATATGTAAAATAAAGTCGATAGACTGAAATAGTGACTACCACCACTCACATGCACCTACACCTACCTACCGCCTGAACAAGCCTTGGGGCAGTCTTAGCTTCGGAACCAGGTACGTACTATTTATTTACCTAGCCTTATATCTATTGTGTAGAATAATAAGTCTCCATAGGCCGTTGGGCCCCACCCTTAGTTGTCCGTCGAATCTACCGCTGATGGGCCTCGGGATATTTGACCTTTGTTGGGGCAGCTAGGGGCATGTATAGTCTTCTTGGTCTCTTGTAATGTTTTGAAAAATTGAGGTTCGCTCCTTTGCGGTGTTAGCGACGAATTACAGCCCTATAATTTATGGTGTTGTTGTTTTACAATAAAGATTAAATAAATAAACTTAAAAATGAATAAGTTCTTTTCTCGAGATCGACCTAAATTGAATCGAAAATCGCAGACTGAAATGTTGAGATTAATTTACATTTAAGAGATTAGAGTGCTTTTGAACAAAATGTACAAGTACCTATATAAACCGTAACTCAAAGCGGTGAGTCTGCCACACGGACGTTGTTTATGTCGCAACGTGGGTGACTAATAGTGAGGATACGGACGCAAAAATAATATTATATTATTATCCTTATGAGACTATATGTTCAACAATGGTCTCTATTGCTGAGCATTTAGACTTCCCACATTTCCTCATACCTCAGACATATACCGGTATAGCTATTATAAAATGATTAATTCTCCATGTTTCGGATGCAATAACATTTTCTTTACGTTTTCCATAGTCAAATATATGCGATAACGTACAAAATTAATAACGTATTACCTAGTATACAAGAAAAAACATAATAATTCTAGAAATATTTATAAAAGTACATAGTAATTATACTTAATATTAGGAGTGTAGCGAGCGAAATACTTTCGAAAGTCAATTGCAATTCAAGGAATTGTCAATCAAAGGAATAGCAGATGCGTTGCCGGCCTTTTAAAAAGGAGTACGCTCTTTTCTTGAAGGTCCCTAAGTCGTATCGGTCCGGAAAAATCGCTGATGGTAATCGATTCCACAAGGAAGTTGTGCGAGGAAGAAAACATCTTCTACATCGCACAGTGGTGGACCGCCAATCATCCAGATGGTGTGGATGGTATCGGGAGTTCTGCCGCGATGTGCGTTCGTGAAATTTGACGGCTGGGATTAATCCGAACAATTCCTCAGTGCACTCCCCGTTGTAAATACGAAAGAAAATGCAAATGATGCAACATCTCTTCGTAGTGCCAATGAATCGAGCCGAACGGAAAGGACTCGGTTGTCGACGATTCGAGCCGCTCTGAGCTGGATGCGGTCAAGTGGAAGGAGCTGGCACTGGGGAGCCTCTGCCCAGAGATGGGAACAGTATTCCATGTGGGGCCGAACCTGCGCCTTGTAAAGTTGCACGCAAAGCTTTTTAGAGGCCAATTTGACCTTCTCTTCCAAGTGACCACGAAACTGCACGTCACTCGATATGTAGACTCCGAGGATTCCGATACTGGCTGAGGCAATAAGTGGAGTGCCTTGAAACTGAGGAGACACGACAAAGGGGTTCTTTTTAGCGGTAAACGCGCAAACTTGTGTATTCTGAGGATTAAACTGGACTAGATTTAGTCGCCCCCAATCCGAGACTTTGTTTAGCAAAGGCTCGACTTCAGATATAAGTTTGTCCCGGTCCTCGGCGACGTTTTTCCGAGAAATATTGGCACGGCCGGTGTATAGAGCATCACCAGTGCTGTCATCTGCATAGCAATGAATGTTACCAGTTAGAAACATATCATTGATATGCAGAAGAAACGGCGTTGGTGATAGCACACAGCCTTGTGGAACACCAGCGTTGATAAGCTTGTAGTCGGAGCATGCACCGTCTACAACGACCTTGATGCTCCGATCTGCAAGGAAGCTGGTGATCCAATTGCACAATTTCTCGGGAAGCCCATACGAAGGCAGCTTCGAAAGAAGCGCTTTGTGCCAAACCCGATCGAAGGCCTTCGCAATGTCCAAACTAACTGCCAACGCCTCTCCCTTGGACTCTACTGCCTCTGCCCATCTATGAGTCAGGTAGACCACAAGATCACCAGCTGATCGACCCTGACGAAAACCGTATTGGCAGTCACTAATCAGCTGGTGATCCTCGAGGTACCGCATGAGCTGGCAGTTAAAAATGGATTCCATTATTTTGGAGAACAAGGATGTGATGGCGATAGGCCTGTACTTGGACGGGTCTGAGCGGTCGCCATTTTCAGGGATCGAGTGGACAAAGCTGTCTTCCATGATTTCGGGACTACGCCTAGGGAGTAGGAGTAGCGGAAAAGACGCGTTAGAACCGGTGCCAACTCCGGAGCACACGTCCTCAGCACAATTGGGGGGATTCCGTCAGGCCCACTCGATTTGTGGATGTCCAGGGAGAGGAGTGCTTTACGAACCGAGCGCTGTGAGAACCGCAC